GTCATTCTAAGGTAACAAAAACATAATGATTCCTACATTCAGGTGATTATACACTAATAAAAACATATCTATGAATATTATATTGCATTTATGCTAATAGATCCTCCTGAATGTTACACACTGGACCTTTAAGCTAACAAGTATCTGTGGTTGGCTGTTTTAAGTTGATCCCAATCAAAGCTTCAAGAAGCTGTTTGATTTAAAGAGGGAGGTTTTACACAGACTGGCAGTAAGAAGGAGAGGAGGACATACCCCCTGAGCCTAGGAACCTGTTGCCCTCCCTCACATGGGGGTGTTTGTCCTCCAGGTGTCTGTCGGGCCAGATCAGGCTCTCAGAGGAGAACACCACCTTGTGTCTGGCCTGCTGGAACTTCTTCAACAGCTCTTCAGGACCCGAGGCGAAAATCACATCGTAGCTGTGTTAAACGGGGAGTGAAAAAAAAAAAAAAACCTTTACTGTGCTGTGTGGCTCAGCGGTGTGTGAAGCCAGTGACATAGTTAAAACAAATGAATGGGTTGCTTTTATGAGATGCCAGCGTTCTTTATTTGGAGGGTTAAGCTGCCAGTGGTTGTGTTTACTAGCATAAAAGGAACTGCTTGAATAAAAAAACATTTGCTCTCTGTTGATTTTGGGTTTGCATGCTTTAGCCTTGCCACTGCATCTCCCATATACTACTATTATTACAGTACTTTGAACTCCGTATTAAAGCTTTAGTGCAACAATTTGGGAAATATGCTTTCTTTCCAAGTCCATTTTGTCCATGTACAAATGCATCTTTAACACAGAATCTTTCAACAATACTGAATCATACTAGCAGCTCGGTGAACAACAGTTCAGTGGCTGCTTTACAGTGAGGTTGTGAGGTTTGGTACCATCTGCACAGAGACCAAAACTAAAACCTGTGCTCACAATAGAAATAATAGTTCCAGCACATAACTCATATTATAGTTTTTACATTTCTTCTCGTTTACAGATTAAACACACTAATCAGTGATCAGAGTTTTAGGGTGAAAGCCAGGCTAGCTGTTTCCCCCTGCTTCCAGACTTTATGCTAGTAAGCTAACCACATCCTGACTCCAGCTGTGCACTGAACACAAAGACATGAGATTGAGATCTATGTGGACATCTCACTCTCTCAGAATGAAAGAAAAAAGGCACATTTCCCAAAATGCTGATCTATTCCTTTTAGTAATTGTTGCCTTCAAGTCAATCCGATCAAATATTAATACTGATACTAACCTAATACATTTATTGGATATTGACACGGATCCTCATACTGATCCAGATCCCATAGTCTGAATGAATTATAAATATGTAATAATGCAATTTTAAAGCCTATAGCCAAAATAAAAATATTGTAGTGCAAGAATTAACCAAATAATTATTTATTAAACAGTTCAAGATATCCAGTAGTCCCCATATGGTGTTGTCTTCCAGAACTCTGTGAGTTAGATGTAGAGGTGGAGCTTGTGCTGGACTGTGAGCCCGGTGAAATGTAACATGAGACAGTCTGGAACTGAGTGAACTAGTAACAGTTCAACACATTTGAGTCTCGATACACGGAAAAGCAAGACTTGTAATGTATGCAGAGTCAACATTCAGAGAGGTTTGTGCTGCATCGTACGATACTACCAGTTTAATTAAGCACTTCCTGTTCTGTTGTTACTGTAATGCAGCAAAGACTTAACCTGTGTATATACGTGCATAGCTGTACAATAACACTGACAACTGGTAAAAGCAGACAGGTTGGTGCAAAGTGAAATGAATGGAGACCATCGACTGCCTGGAGGAAACTCTACCTGTCAATAAAAAGGATGATTTTGTCCTGAGTCTTCATCTTCTCCAGAGCTGCTTTAAGGAGTCGTACTTTCTGTCCTCCTCCTGGAGCTGACATGTAGTCACCTCCGTTCCATTTCTCACCTCGACCAAGTACCTTAAAACAGGCATACATCCATTTACTGCAATTTGAAGGAATTCATCAATGCACATTCATCCTCAAATACTTCAAATATCTTCTCTGTCACTTTTACAGTGGTTTATTTCAGAAACTCAAATGCACTGAAAAAGTCTTACATGTAAAAGATATTGCAATAGAGGCAAAACTATGATGTGAAACTAGGGATTTGTTATCTTTTAAAGAACTGACAGAGAGGCTTTCATGGTTAGATGGCAGGAAATGATCTTGCCGCAGGGGTTCCTACCTTGACAGTGTAGTTGAAGTGTTTGGCCGACTGCATGAAGCGCCTGAAGCCATCAGTCTCTTTGGTTGCAACTGTCACAACTAGAAGTTTCTCTGGAAGAAACAAAATTATAGAGGAATTCAAAAAGATGATACTGTAGACGTCTTTCTTTGTTGTGCCTTAAGCATGAAGCAACCCAGTGGCACTGCTGTTACTGACAGTTTCTGTGATATATGTCTTGATAAGTCTGCATGATTGATGGGAGTCTTACCATACAGAAACCAAGAAGAAAGAAAGAGTGAGCTTTAACTCATCAGATCATAAGCATCAGTCCCTTATCTCATTTCACAACTAGATTTTACACAGCTGTACAATAAAAGACAGGCCCACAAGATGAAATAATATGTAAAATGTAATACAATTTATCTCAGCATTTGGTTCACTTTAGTGAAGAAAAGTAATGAATCAAATTACCAAAAGCAAAGTTACAGGCTGCTACATGATTACTGACATATATGGTAAAATAATTTCTGTAATGTCTAGATTGTCGTTATCTAACAAATGGCCCAAAAAATATATTTCTAAAAATGAATTTGACGTTGTTACAAGGTCACAAAAGTCCAGCCACAAGCCAAAAGCTGGTAAAATGTGCCAGTGGCTGGTCGATCTGCTTCACTCACAAGCCAGAATGAATAACGGTGTTGAGTGGCAGGTAAAGTCAGTGAAACACTCACTAACCATTTGGCTGGAGGTAAAAGGCTACTTTTGCACCCTGATTGTCACCATAGGGCAGTGGTTCCCAACCTGGGGGTCAGGACCCCCACTAGGGGCTGCTAAAGCTTTATTGAGGGTCGTGAGGCTTTCGTGATTTTAAGGCGTTCTAGAAAACTTAAATATACAATTTATCTCAGCATTTGGTTCACTTGAGTGAAGAAAAGAAGAAAACTAGTAAATTGTCTGATAGAACAATGACTCTGATTTTGTCCAAAAAGAAGTCTATTAAGTATGTGTGCTTGTTAAGAATGATAAAAAGAATACATAATATGGACAATTGTATAAACAGGAAATAATCTGCTTATACTTCATCCATTAATGCATCGCTCCTTTTACAAAGACTTCTTGCAGTGAGTTCACCATTTGGTTAACTGTACAGTTCTGAATATAATATGAAATCTCCATAAAATAGGCCACTTAGTCAGGGGTTGTCAGTTTACTGAATGATAGAAAAAGGGTCCCTTAAGGAAAAAGGTTTGAGAACCACTGCCATAGGGCCCCATTGCTTTGGGCCCCAAAGGCTACATGGGCCACACATGAGGGAACTAAATGTTAAGTTCTCTGTTCAGTTTTGCCTTTATTTCATTTATTTAAGTAATAATACAAACATTTTATTGCTTTCACATTGCACTTCCATATGAAGCTTTTGTTCAGTGTGTGTATCAAAAATACCATAACATTTTATTTCATTTTATCATTTGCTTGTTGTAATGCATGGGTTATTAACTGCAGTGACAAACACCTTACAAGTATGTTAGAGGGTTTAGATGTGGTTTGTAAATATATTTCTGTCTTAACCTTCCCTATCCATAATAAAACTACAGGATCAGCTCAGAAGTTAAGGACAGCACCTTTCTCTAGTATGAGGAGAGTCTACCACCATCATGTATACCATAAATCACACACATACTGCCTGACTGACTGAAGTCAGATTTGTTGATGAAAGAAGTTGAATCACATGGCACAAAACTATATCTACACTTCACCCATTCATTTAGTCTTAAGCCTTATCTCAATAAAATAAAGTTCCACCAGTTTTCAAGAGAAAGGATCTTGTTTCAAAGTTTTCTTTTATCAAGTGTCTTTTGCTTTGTTTGCAGCCCTGTTTCCTCTTTATTGTGCCCTCATTCAATCTACCTGCATTCAATTCTGGAAAATCCCGAGGGAGACTGCACTGGAAACAGATTCTATTATTTATGAAAACTGTTTATTTTTTATTAATTATTCAATACTTGCTACTTATGAGACCGTGCAGCCTCCTGTAACCGGGCTGCGTTTTGTCGTGCGTTATACCTCTTTAAGACTGAAATCAAGTTTCAAAAATCATTTTATTTTATTCTTTATTGATCCATAACTGTGTTTAATTAACATCAGCTTTAAACTAGACACGTACCTATAGCATACCTATGGGCCACAGCTAACGTTAATATATTAATAGCAGCGCTGACAGCAGCCCCGTCCACGTCAGCGCCATGGAAGTCCTCCTCAGCACCTCACGAACTAACGTTAACTAACCTACGTGCAGCTTTCTCTCTCATGTACGTTAAAGGAGGCAAATACTGTTAAACTCCATTCATTTTTTTCTTAAAACTGCATTATTATATGGGAAAAAAACTACAGATAAGTTAGAAGACAACGTAGTTGGTGTCTTTTGTGAGTTTAAAACTATTCGGCATGCACCAAGCGCCATGAGCAGCGCGTGTATCAACAAAATCAGCTTTTCCAACCGGTTAGCTTCATTTATATTGGAGCTTTATGTGGTAACTAACGGTAGTTAAC